GTGCGATGCTGGTTCCGTGACTTAGTGGAAGGATTTGGCAGGATCATACAAAATATAGAAATCGTGGGGAGCTGGAACCACAGCATCTGGAACCCAAGCCAGGGGCTGAGCAACTGAAGGTTGGACATCTAGGGAATGCTGGCAAGCCCACATGCTGGCTGTGCATTCATGCCTGCAAGTATGATTAGTGCTGGATCCTGTTTGGGATTTTGTGGTGTGGTGCTTGGGCTTCTGCGGCCCTCGGGGGTTTAGTTTACGGGCTTTAGCAGCCCCGTCCTGATAGAATGACCAAGGCCTAAACCCTCAATCCACAAACCCTAAACCCCCAATGCCTAAACGTTAAACCCTGAACCCTTGACCCCAATCCCTAATCCCCAAACTCTAAACCCCAAACCCTAAACCGCCATGCAAGCGGCAAAACCTTACACCAAGGTCTGGATGCAAGTTCCGATAGAACGGAAGTCCAGCAACAGTGAGAAGCTGTCCTTCACACTGCAGCCCAGCTGATAGTTTGGCTTTCTGATCAAGGAGCTTGGGACTTAGGGATTAGGGGTTGGGGTTTAGGGTTTAGGTTTTGGGGTGTGGGGTTTAGGGTGTGCGAGTCTAGGACTGCTTTCGGATTTGCGTTACAGGGTCTCAGTGCTGTTGCAGCTGCAAGTAGACTGGTGAGGCCACAAGGTGGCTGAATGATGTTGGGAAGCATTGGCTAAGGGGCAAGGCTCCAAGTTTGCTGGACAGGCACACAGAAAACTTGAATCCTCGAACGGGCCAAGAAGAGAGGCGTCTTGCTTTGCCTCATTGTAGTTGTAAGAAACGACTAACATTTGTCATAGTATTATTAACAGTAAAGACAATAGTAATAGAAATAAGGGTAATAACAATAGTAACAAGAGGCATAATAGTAATAGTAGTAAAATAGGAAATAGGAAATAAGGAAACATAGTAATGACATGAATAATATGGTTAGACCTCTGGGGCGCGTCTCGGGTTGCGATGTCGCTAACCGGCCTGGACTGTCCCATTGGTGCTCAAAACATACCCCCAAATGTGCCATAATCTAAACTCAGTGAGAGCTCTAGTGTGAACTCTTTGAAGGGGGATTATATTGGGGATTATATAGGGTTTAGGGTTTAGGATTTAGGGTTTAAAGTCTAAGCTCCGAGGCGGTATATGGGGGTCATATAGGGGAGTGCTATAGGGGTTATTAAGGGGGATACTAGGAAACACATGGGTTATTCTAACACATATGAGCTCCTGTTGGTTATAGGATGTTATAGGTTATATTGCGGCACGTCATGTTTAAGCGTACGAAAAAGGGACCTAAATTTTAGGAACAACTCACATAATGGAGTCTCTCCAAATATCGGGACCCCCCTGCTTACGGAAGACCATGGTCGTAACCTCTTCGCGATGTGGGCCTGAAGAGAGGAGCACCCCAAATGATTTTCGGTCGAGCCTTAAAAGCGATGTGGCATCTCTTCGCGATGAGGGCCCTAGCAGTTTTGGGGCAAAACTACCCGCAATTTCAGACTGTCAACATAGCCAACTTAGCCACTATAGCCACCTAGCACGCCCCAGGAAGCTAGACATGGGGTTTTGCGGTATACTGGCTAGATTCTTAAGCAATCTTTGCACCCAAAAGTCCATGGTCAGTTTCTGTGTCTTTTGCCTTGCGGTTTGGACCAGCTAGGGCGGACTGAAAACAGCCAGTAGCAATCAACATGACCCTCGAAAACTGTGAAGCTGAAACCCTGCACCTTTGAATCCGGACCAGTAAGGGAACTTTTTCGTTACCCCAGGGTTTAGGGAAGATTGCCTCCAACAGTGGAAAATCACACGGAGAAGAAAACTGACAACGAAATGGAAACTGGGTTTTATGCCTGTGGTAGTTTCCATTCTGTTTTCCATTATCCCTATATGACCCAAATATAACCCCTATCTATCCCCTATATAACCCTTAGGGTCTCAAGGCACAATGACACGGACTTCAATGTCGATTTTCGGTGGATCACCTACGAGGGTGCTCTGGGCGACCAGGGTTTCACGCTCGTGGCCGGGACCAGCTTCCCTGGGTATCTTGCCTGAAGCACTTAGTTTTAGGTCCCCTTTTTTGGGGCCCCTTTGAGAAGTGTGTGAGGGATATGTGTGTGTGTTTATGGACATCCACAAAGCGGGGGCCAGATTTCACTGGAAGGATATGCGCGGGTTTTTGTGGGGTCCAGGGCTTCATGATTTACTTATTCATTGTTAGTAGGAAATAAGGGAATGCAATCCCTACATATTATACACCCTTATTCCCTACCAAGCCCCAGTAAGCTTGAGCAGTTGCTAGAAGTAGGACATCAGGATCCCAAGTAGTGATAGGGCTGGCTAGCGACTGTCTCCGACATTCGTATGAGCCGGAGCACGAGGCAATGATCTTGCTTCCTAAGCCCTGCAGTATAACTACTGCAAGAATTTGCTCTAAGGATTGCTTGAGTTCTCTGTGCTTGCATTTGGAATGGGCTGCAGCATAAGCAGCGCCTGTGCGTGAGGCAGAGCTTTGAGACACATCCTTTCTGCATACGGCGCCTCGACGAGAGCGGCAGCATTGGCGAGGAGGTGGCTTGTGTCTGCTTCAAGGCCTGAGGGACCTGGAGTGTTTCACAGCGGGGGAGTTTTATGAGGCCGTTGTTTGAGAACCCAAGCCCACCAAGAACCTGTCCGCCTCCTCAAAAGACGTGACAGCCATGACAGTGACCGTTTTCGGCGCATTCAGCTTCTTGTTCTCTTGGTATGCAGAGGACTCTGGCGGAGCAGTTTGCCTACTGTCTGATGCTATGGTCCTCTGTGGGACGCTCCAGGATACCTCCCTTGCCGGTTGCGTTTGGGTTCAGGGCTGCGGGCTCGGGTCCTGCAGTTTAAGATGCAGCATTTAGGCAGTGCAGAAAAACAGCTGCAATTGGGTTTGGGATTGGGGGGGTAGGGTCAAATTTTGGATTGAAAATGCACTATATATAGGGGTGCCGGTTGAGGGAGGTGTGTGTTACACATCAGGTGCCTTTGTTTGCCCCTGAGAGTCCTCCATTGTCATTCTTCGGGGTGGACATGCATAAGGGTGGCAAGCAGTTGTGAAGGGAGACTCAGCTCTCCACAATTGAGTAGGAGCACGTCTGCCAGGGGATCTTGAATGGCGCTTTCGTTTGCACTTTCTGGACTATCTTTTTCTTAGTTGCCCTCGATACCGCGCAGATGAGATTCCAGGCCGCGCAAGCATCTTTAGCACAACACAGAGTATGACTTCTGAGCCATGTATACGATGAAGCCGTACTCCCTAACCTCTGCATTGTATCCAGCGACATGCGCCGTTGACAAAGACATGCCAAGTCACGCAGCAAGGAGAAGGACACGAGCAAGCCTTTGCCGATTCCGGGCAAGTGCGCTCTGCCTCTGCATAGCGGTAGAACACAAACAGCGAAAGCTATTTGAGGAATGGGTCCAATAGATCATCAGTGTTTAGCAGCATCCCATGCAAGGTAAGACAATTGTACCTGCGGGCTTACAGAAGGGATGCCCGAAGGAGGGTCGACGCTACTAATGAGTACTTCAGGGTCTGATTTGCTTTGCTTTGCCTTTGGAATAGAACGCTTGCATTCGTCTGCAGCCTGGGATGCAGCATCACCAGCCGGGCAAACTAGCAACTTATTGCCTAAATCGGTGTTAATTAATTGGCGTGTCTTATAACGTTGCACTATAGGGGCAGAGTGATGATGTGGGCAGGTCTGTTTTCTAAGTTGTCCAGATAGCAGAAGACTTTCCCATCCTCTGGTAGCTTCAAATGTACGGCCATAGACACAATGAAGTTGATGCAGCCGAGACCCCGCACAGGCTTGCAACCGCAGCCTCCAAAATTTGTTCGCCGGGCTTCTAGCTGAACCCACCCCTGACAACAGCGGTCACATAATTCTCGGACTGTCCGCGTCTTCATCTGGCATTTTGCGTTTTCTTAGGAGGTTCGAAGTTTGACAGGGTGCGGATTTATTCGCGATCGTGTATTGTACTCGTGCCACCTAGCCCCCGCTTACAGTGGCTTCACTTTTTGAACTTTGCAAGCCAGAGAATGCAGCTGAGTGCTTATGCGAGGCCTCAGCGAGCAACGTGCGGTTGTCTACCCCTGTGTCCGGGAGCGCTATGAAGCGGCCAAGAAGTGTGGATTCAGCGATGAGCAGAACCCTTACCACGAAAGCAAGTACGAAGCTCTGACTGCCCCTGTGCCCTGGAATCCGCCATTCGGTATGTTTTTTCTGGGTCCATGCAGCAGAGATTCTGTAAGTGTGGGGTGTAGCAAGTGGCAGAATCGCGGTTTTCGGTTTAGCCTAATATTATAGGGACCTGCAAACCATTGGGCATAAGTTGTCATAATTTCCAGAAACTGCTAGCCAATCTGTCTTTTGAGCCTGATTAGAACCGAGCCCTACACCCTGAACCCTAAGAATAACTAGGGGATAATAATGATTTTATGTGGCTATATAGGCTCCTTAATAGGATTATATGAGCCGGGGTCAAAATGGATTTCACCACTTCCACAGACAAGTAATTTCGGCGCCAGCTCATATAGGGGCTCTTGACGGTTATATGCCCCAGGTGTGCTCCATGGACTTTGACCGTGTAACTGGCTTCAGCCTGGATGCTCTCACTGGCGAAGCTTACACCTGCTTGGCAAGGGACAAGGGCATGATGCTTATGGTAGTCCCATATGGTAATTCCGCAAGATAGGGGGACCCCAATATAGACCCTAAAATATATTAATCCGTATTATAACCCTAAACCCAAAACCCTAAACCCCCTAAACCCTAATTTTGGGAAACCCCCCCCATATAACTCCCCGACATTGCAGCTGTTCGCATTTGTGATTTGTTTCCTTCATTCCCTACACTAAGCCCCAAACCCTAAAGTCGTCTCCATTTTCTTTTCCATGGTTTAGGGTTTAGGGTTTAGGGTTTTAGGGTTTAGGGAGTATCCTTACATAGAACCCCAATATAATGTAGCAGTTTCCATTTCCTTTTCCATTATCCCTACATATAACCCCAATATAATATAGCAATTTCCATTTCCTCTTCCATTATCCCTACATATAACCCCAATATAGTAGTTTTCATTTTCTTGTCCACTCCTTCATTCCTTGCCAGCCAGAGCTAAGGAAAGAGCTAGCGCTCCGGAGTTCGACTGGGGGGATGGGCCTGAAATACCCACAGAGATACATTGGGCAGAGCCACCCCTGCAGCTCGGTCACATTTTCAGGTTTAGTGTTAAGGGTTTAGGATAGGCTTTTGAAGGCTTTAGGGTTTAAGTGCCTATGTTTTAGGTTTTAAACTGTTGTGAAAGCAGTATGACAACGTTTTCTCATTTTGGTGCCTTGTGCTCTAGCCGGGTTTTTGAGGCTAGGATCCGTATTAATTCTGCAGGTTGGAACGTCTGACCCTCAGTCTTGAATCCTGCAGTTGGAGACCTTGACTTTCAAGTCCAAGAGCTACCCGCCACAATTCCTGCATTCCAAAGTATAGGGGCAAATCTGCAAAGCATTTCTAAAATTATTACTGTATTCTTATGATTGGGAACTCCAGGTTAACGAAGCCAGCGGCGGCTGTGGCTGTTGCGCAGCAAGCAAAGGACCGTGTTAGCAAGGAGGTCTAGAATCAAATTTGCCAAATATTTGGGGCAAAGAGCTTAGCATAAAGGGTTGGAGCCCGAGCCGAAATAGGAACTATAAAGAACCCCATTGTAGTAGTTTCCATTTTCTTTTCCATTATCCCAATATAACCCAAATATATACCCTAAACCCCTAAACCCTAAACCCTAAACCCGGCTTCGGTGAGTTGCAAGTGTGGAGAGTGATGGAAGCTGCCCATCCAAATCTGTTGGAGTACAATCTCGAATTCAACCAGCTGATACTGGTGAACCCTGCATGCCCTGCATGATGCTGGGAGGAACACTGTGCAATGGAATTTCGTGCTGTTGTGGCTTGCAGACAAGTGATGTTCGCCTCCGGGAGCTGTACTGAGTGTCTGGAGAAGCATAGTGGCGCGTAGCTCTGAAAGGTGGTAGTATGTAGTCGTGGTGTAGCTCTGGACTGGACAGTATTTGCCGTGCTTGCCTGTGCGATGCGCGTGTCTAAACCCTAAACCCTAAATTTGCTATGCCGTCCGAGCCATGCAAGCGGCAAAACCTTAAATTCTATAGAAGCAACTCTTGAGGCTGATTTTTCTCTGTTGACACACTCTCCTGCTGAGTGCGGTCATGATTTAGGGGTTTCCAAGAGGTAGCTGTACTATGCTGGGGGTCCCTGTAATGAGGATAAAGTTTTAGGCGACCATTTAGTAATTCCTTAGGAGGTATCGTGGGAACATAAGAGGGCCCGAATATAATCACCATGATACCCTAGAGTCACTATTACTGGGTGGAGGGGTCCATCTAAGTAATTCCTGCGCACATCCTGAACTCTCCGAAGGAGTCTACGCCTGCAGCTGCGGATCCTGCGCCGGAAAATCAGGCTGGGCCGGGAGTGTAGACTGGCGGCTTCTTAGAAACCCTAAATCCTTAGACCCTGAACCCTAAACCCTATCAGAATATAGTAGTGTCCATTTTCTTTTCCATTATCCCAATATAATATAACCCCTATATCACCCTATATAATACAGGTACTTATTTTAATTAATCCAACTCGTCGCAATCTCTGGCCTTCCTTGCAGCTAGGAGTTCGGCCTTGCCTCTATCTGAGTGCAGTGGGTCTTTTTTGCTAAGCTGTTACAGTGCAGAATGTGTGGGGCGCTCAGCTTGCTTACAAGAAATTGCCAGGGAAGGATTCCCAGGAACCTGACATATCTGCCTGATACTGCACAATTCTCAGAACTTGAGTGTTTGCAAAATTGTTGGGACCATTTTTGGGAGTTTTCTTGAGAAGGGTGCTAATGATCTAGAGCATGCTGCAGAGCCCAATTTTCGAGAAATCGCCAAATTTATGCACAATATATACTGGGTGCTAGCCCATGATCCTTATATTGTCGCGGCTTTGAATTCGGATGGCTGTGTAGGTTCTCCATTCCCTTTTTTACAATCTCACTTTCAAACCCTAAACCTTCAGCCTTCCCTCAAACCCAAGACCACACGGACAGAAGATTGGAATGTAGACGCCCAAAATATTGTAATCCTGAATATGCAACCCCCCAAGTATGAACCCCTAAATTATGGAAACCCCATCTAAAGCCTGAACCCTAAACCCTGTGAAATGTGTGGGCTTTGATGAGGATAGAGCTGCAGACTCCCGGCAGCTTGCGGTACTGCCTGGGCAGCCAGAGGCACCATGTTCAGCATACAGAGATTCAGGGCGTGGGTTCTTGGGCTGACATTTTGTTGGTTAGGGTCAAGAAAAAAGATAAGGTTCGTATAGATTTGAGGGTCTTCCGTGTCCTTCCTTCACCGGAAGCCCTATCCTTCATTGGGTGTGTAGGCGTGTGTACTTGCATGGGGAGCACATACAGTGTCTCCTTCAAAGCCCCAAACCATTTAGAGCCCCTCGCCTTTCAAGGCGCAAGTAAACACCGCTGAGGCACACTATGGCGAGGAAGCGGAGAAGCCGGTGCAGCACGGGCTGAGGGTTTGAAAGGATCCGAGATTGTCAAGGTTCTGAGCAGAAGGTTGGATTTTTCTTTCTGTTCTTGTTGCTATCACTCTCAATATTCTGGCTCTGAGGTCTGTTTCTTGTCGTTGGCATTGCCTTTGTAATTACTGCCAATCACGGTGCGCGCCATGGGTCAAGGCTTGCAGGTCTGTGTTCCACAGGAATTTGGAGTGGTTTGGATGTAGCTTGGTGCAATGGTCAGAGGTCAGGAGTGGGTTAGGCATTGTGACCTGTAGTTGCCTAATGGTGAACGGCCACCCTACCTCATGACCTTACATGAACAGTTTAGGGATGGAAGATGTCGCTTTCAGCTGAAGAACATGAGGTGGAGCAGAAGCGTCCGCCGGCTCTAACAGACTTGACGGATGAGGACGCTGGGTTTGGACCCATGAGGTTTTAGGGGAGTATGGGACTTAAGGTTTGGGTGTAGTCCAGAGGCCAGTGTTCTCCCTAGCCTTACTTTCCTAATTCAGCTTTGAAAATGCTTAATGGGCCCCCTGATGGGGGCCTCTAGTCCTACGATCCCCTCACAGACAAGGAAGAGACGGCTAAAGCGCAGAAGGATGCCGCGAAGTCAGGCTGCTGCACGCTGCTGTGAGGAATCAAAAGATCTGGAGTTGGTTTGGATTTAGATTTTGCTCAGAATATGTTTATAAATTATCCTTGCCTTCCGATACGGAATCAAGGAACTGACGAGGAATTCTTATAATAAGATATTATAAATGGAAAATATCAATATTATTTTAAGAGATAGAATGCCACATATTTTGATCTGACACCTGATTGTAAAATCGTAGAATGATTTTTAAAATCGTCGTCATTCGTGAAATTAAAGATTTAAGGATTTCAAGAATATCTTAATATATACACGGTTCAAATGATTCTATTATTACATTAGATTTCTCTATAAATTTTCAAACTATCGATTTGATATTCTCTCGATTTATTGAATTATCATTCAAATGATATCTTTATCGTATTCTAATTCATATCTATCATTTCTCAATCTATTTAGATTCTTCATCTCGAGCGATTTGCAGATAAATAATGATATAGAAAATTGTTGATATTAGGATTTTTCTGATATATCGGGAATTTTGAAAAATCGATATATTATTCTGGGATTATTATATATATATATTGGGAATGAAAGGGAGCCGAGAAGATGAGATAGATGATCTAGCATTTTAAGATTATAAATTTCATTTTTTTTTTTTTCAAATATGATTATTTAATTTTCTTTGGATATAAAATATTTTGATTTCAATGCTTCATATTTCTTTTTATTTTCCCATATATTCATATCATATAAAAGATAATTTTTTAGAATTATGATATAGATATAGAAAATAATTAGATTTCGTAGGATATTTCTTCAAATTAGATATTCTTCTTCTAAGATTTATTCAGATATTCATATTATTTGATAAATTTCAAGAAATTATCTAAAAATTATCTCTGACAATATTTATATATATATATCAGATTATATTTGAGATATATAAACGTTAATATTCTACGAATGATAGGACGAATATATATTTTTGGAAAAAGGCATCAAGATAATTATCTATCTATCTTTGTTTTCATATTTCTATATAATCTAAAATAATTTTATGAATAATTCTATGAGAAAAATTATATTGATAATACTTTCGATATTTTTAAGATTTCATTAAGATAATTATATATATATAGAATTAAAATATGAGATTTAATATGGTATCTAAAAGATATTTATGATTCATGGCATGGATAAAAGAAATTCAACTATGAGAAAATTTAATTAATTTTTTTGCATTCTTATTATATCAGATTCAATTTAATCAATGATTTTTAGAATATATTATTAATTAAATATCGATTGAATTTTAGACGATTCTTTTCGCTTTCTATTTCATGATTAATAATCGGAAATCTTTCATAGATCTATTATTCGTAATTAGATAGAAATATAAATACCTATACGCTAGATTAGATATATCTAATTCTTATTATGATATATCATTTTGAAATATATTTTCGAGATTTCAAAAGAATTACGATTTTATTTCTCTCTAGATCGTATAAAGAGAAATGGATAATTCATTCTTTTAGATATCTTCAATTTATATAGATTAATACGATTTTTGATATTCTCATATATTATAGCTCTCTTCTAGAATCGATATTCTATGCATCAATATAATATTAAGATTACGATTTGCCATTCTCTCTATTATAGAGAATCGTCATCTTATGATCTTATCAATATATTCATCAATTCTTCGGATTTGATTATCTATCTTCTATCGAATTATATTCTCTGAGATCTAATTCTTTTAAATCTCAATCTAATTATCTAATGATCTGGAATATATTCATTTAATATTTTATGAATTCATCTATTGATATTTCTATTTCTAAATCTATATATCTATAGATTTATATATTGAATATTCTATGAAATGATCGATTTCAAATCATCAATCTATCTATGAATTGATCAATATTTCGGATTATCAATCTATCGATCTCATGAATTCTCGGATTTATAGAATCTCTATATCTATTGAATTATCGATTCAATAATTCATTGATCTATGATTTCATTATCAAAATATCTATCGATCTCATTCATGATCAATTATATATCGTTAGATCAATCTTCATGATCGATATATTCTTCTTCATTATTATTATATTCATTATCTATTATATAGATTTATCGATTCAATTCTAATTTCTGAAGATATATGAATTATTCTATTAAGGAATAATGCTATATTTCTATATTTTCCATCAAAATTCTGATAAATATCAAAGATATCGAAAGATTCTTTCGAATTAGAATAAAGAAATATAAGAATTCTAAAAGTATAGAGATAGGCGGGAGGATATCTCTCTCCCTATATTTCGTAATATTTCATAATAATTTTTATAAAATCTCTAATTATGATTCGTTCTTATTAATATAAATATATATATTTGGCACCTCTCCCCCAAAGATCTAGCTTTTTATATGCACTGGAAATATTTTCTATATTTGAGATCTCAATCTTGAATGAAATCATATAATATAACAAATTCTATTAGTTCAAGGCGCGATTCCGGAGATTGAAAGAGATTGAAAAGATTGAATTTCAATCTCTGGAATCCAAGATCCAAGATTCCGAGGAGGTCTTTCA